GTCGATGCACCTGCCGAACAAAATGCACTGCTGGCACACTGTTCCTTTGCGCCACGATGTCGATGTCGGGGACATCTGTATACACAAGTCAGATGGAAAATTGCAACAAGTTCATGAACACATTCTAACGAATGGCCTGTCAATCGGCACCTTAATAAGGTTGAATGCTACCAAGAAATCGTCAATCCTAAAGAAGAAGACATTAGTCTGAATGCAGGTGCGCATACTTAACACATCGGATGGCAAGAGAAGCTTTTAAACAAAATCGTGGAGTTCCAAGGCACTTAGGTGAAAACTGCTAGTGTGCTTTGAAAATAAATGAACACTACGATTTTAGGAGTAGTTTCAAGTTATTATTATTGTTACTTAACTCAGATTTAATTTGCAATAAGGAGGACTTATTGCAAATAGGATGTCTGCTAAAGTAGGAGTTACGCTGAAGGAGCACTGTTTACTGTTATGGCACTATACCAGGTACACGTTGTTTTGCCTTGTTTAACTGCGAATATATTATAAAACTACCATAGCCACGCTTGCCTGGTGTCAGGTGTTGGAAATCGGAGGAGGGGCTTGTGGCACAGATCGAAATGTACTCAATAGTTGACAATTACAGCTTGGTCAGAAATTCGTTGGTAGAATTCACAAGCAAGTTGCTTGTTAGGTAAGAGGTCTGACTGCAAACTTTCAACTTTTAACAATGAAAACCACAAAATATGCATTTGTATGCGCCAAGCTCTTATTTGGTTGTGTAAGGAAAATGAGGATCGAATTAAATATTCCAATTATCATATTTGTGTATTCATGTTCCAGAAGTTTCTTTCATTATTGCGATATGTTACTTTCCAGGAAAAATGCCCTCAATTTGAGAAAATGCATTCCTGTCCATTCCATTGCCTTCCGTATTCTGGCAGGAATAGAGGAAATTTTGCTTTTGATGATCTTAGGAGTTGTGTACATGTGGAAAAGGAAATCTCGTCCTTCTAAGCATTAATTCTAAGCATTGCATTGTGTTCTCAAAAGACAGCAGATAGCCTGGGTTTGAGTCGGTATTATTAAAAATTCCAATAAACAATCCTACTTACACTGAGTCCGAGCTATGTGGTGGGATTTGCACAAACATGACTCCAGACGTGCACATCTCATCGAGGGTCTGTATTCCCTAACAGGCTTTCTGTTACTTGTGCACATCGATTTGTGTATAAACGCATTGTTTAAAAGTACCCCAAGTGCCTATGCGCACCCAAAAATTCCGTTTTCGAGTTTAGAATACACTAAAATGATTTTAAAATTTACTCGTGAATTTAATGCAATACCCCATGGTTTTTAATTGCATTCGTCCACCAATGTAACCACAGTGTAGTTATTACCCAGAGCACTTATTCAATAGTTCGGTTGACCTTTCACAAATTGACGAGTCTTTCCTGTGCTCGCAAGCTCATTTGTGGGGCGCTAATCCTCTAGCCCCCCACCAGTGGCCTTGCGCTCCAATTCGACTTGATTCGCCAATTTAGTCGTGGGATTCGCAGTGTAGTGTAGTGTGACCTCATGACTAAAATTGCCTTATTTGAGAAGTTGATCTGATCTTGGTTTGGTCCCTAAGGGATAACCCCCACCTCAGATCATCGCTGGTTCTGGCGATGTCGGTGTTCCAGACATCACGCGCTTCGTTTCGTCAGCGTCGCTAGGCAAAAAGTGAATTTTTGGCCGGCTGGAAACCCGACATAATCGCTTGCATCCCACGAGCCGATTTATAAAACGGGTGAACTTTGTGTCTTAATTTGGACACATAACTGGCTGAAATACTTGGTTTCACGTTCGCAATAACTAAACAATTTACTGTACGAATCCTTGGGGGGAAAGAATCAGCTTGTTCAACTAGTTATTTAAGAAGTCTGTGGTTTGTGGCATTGTGGGCTCCTCTTCAGTTTATCCTAAAACACCCACGTAGGTTTCCTCTGGATTTTTTATTGTCATGTTTACTAAATTTCCAGATGCTGAGGGTTATTGCTCGCAGTTGATATTAATTAATTATTTGTTGTATGTTCCTTGCTAACGCTATACTATGATTAACTTCTATTTTAGGGTCAAAATTATTGCCATTGAAATCTGAAATCGAAAATATGGTGGGGGTTTTCTATTTAGTAAAATTGGTAATAATGGGTGTTTGTTTGTAATGAAAGCATACAAATGACTTTACTAACTCCCCTCAAATAAAATGGTGCCAATCGCAAAATTTGTGTAATTTTGTCTTTTTCAGCACCCTACTAACATTACATTATTTGTATCGCGTGGTATTAATTATAAACTTGATGCCTTTGTGCCCATAACTGACAGACTTATTAATGCTACAGGGCTTTGAAGTCAGCTTTACCGGCACAAGTGCATTTCAGAGATTGGCAGTTTTCTATTGCATCGGTCATTTAAATAGATGCTACTTTTTTATGTGAGTAAAGCCTTATGTTGACCTATTACATTTTCCCTTCAACACACGTGATCCCGCATCCAGGAGAATTTTTACATTCGGGAATAGTCCATTCCTTCGGTTTTACAATTGTTCTTGGAATTCTTGTTTAAACTGAAGCGTTTCAATATGGTGGCAGCCACATTAAAAACATGTTTTCAACTTCAAGGAAAATTGACGCCTATTCACTTTCGAACACTTTGGAGAACAAAATTTCACTTGACAAATTTTGCGGCGCAGCTTTTTTTAAAGATTTTGATGTGTGGACAGTGGCCTTAACTGGTAGTGAAAGCCAAGCACGTGGTTGCATGCTGGGACTTCAGTTTTCTGCGGTTTCCGGTTGTAGTGGTCGCCTTTCGATGCCGGTTCTGCAGCGAATTCAGCGCCTAGTGCCTGTCGGGTTGTTCGTTGTTTATTAGCCAAAAGAACCGAACAACCCCAATGGTGTTTATTTTCAGTTAACCGAAATGTGCCAAGCGTAAATCTGTCTACTTCAGAACATAGTTGTTCTGCACTCATCCAGACAAGACCTCAACAAGGTGGCACTCAGGCGTCCGCTGATCACACTTCAGCCCGAAGAAGCGCTCCTTCTGTTTTCGCCACTTTTTCTTCAGTTAGAATGTACACCTCCCTCCGTTCTCCGCATTGTGTGGCTGCCCTGGAAACTTCTCTCTTGAGCCCAAATGTGGTTTTGGCCTTTTAAATAAAGCAGGCTCGCAGGAACACCTTGAGCGCTTTCATGCTGCAGTGGCGCCATGCCTTCTCCTCCTATCTTCAGGCATGTGATTTAGATTAAATTGTGTCTCACCATCCTGACAGAAAACCTTCTTCGAGTAAATATGCTTCCCACGGTTCTGCTGCAAATAAAACTTTATGATTCCACAAGATGTCTTCTACTAAACTGATAACATTCAGCCTAAATTCGAGTACGCTTCGCACAATACCACCCCTGGTCTATCGTTTAAATGCAAAGTGGTCCCATGAAAATGTAGTTAATAAACATCAAAGTATGTATGGTAGATCTGCAAGTATAATTTGAGATTTGCCTTAAAGTATTTTTAGTTTATAGACTATTAACCTGCCCTCAGTTGCGTCTGAAATTAATATCACAACCTAGCACAGATGCGGGACTTTTGCCTTAACAAGCAACAACGTAGTAAACCAGTATTCACATCATGTAACTTGGGTATTTTGAAATTACTCAAAAAGGCAGGATGTCTAAGTGATCAGACGGGACAATGCTCCATTACCCAATGGGATCAAGAGCTCCGAACGCACCGTTTTTTAATTCGCTAGCAGGTCGTGGCCACACGCGCGTCGCGTGCACTCTGTGGGGTTAACGGCATCGCGCAGACCTCACTGACGCACGCACGCACACTCGAACAATCGACCGTTTTGGTGGCGTTTCACCGTCGAAAATTGCCTCAGTGTAATGTCTGTAAGTTTGTGTTTATTCTTTGCGATGGCAACTTTGTCAACCGTTATATGTGTGCTGGCATTTATATGAAGTTTTTTTTCATAGACGCATCATAGTGAATTCCAATCAATTGTCTTTCCCTATACGCTAACAGATTTAATCCGCTTCGAATGTTCATTGTTACTGCTAATTAGAAATCTGTTTAAGGCAACTTGTACTTTTCGAATCAAAATAGTTTCACTGGTACAATTGTGATGCTTCACCCTTGTCCGTAACTGAAGTAACTTCTAATGTTTGACTAATGTGGCAGCATTTTTTGTTTAAAATTATTTAACAAATACAAGTGGGTCATTAAATTGAACTCGAGGTCATTTGACTTTGAAAAGAAAGTCGGGAAGACGAGTGACTAAAAGTCAAAACTAATAGTTTTACTGTGGGATTACTCCGATTGCCGATTAAGTTAAACTTGAGGTGGTCTTTCCACGGCAGCCCTCTTGGGTTAGATCTGTTCGTTGTACAATGCGACTTTAGCTTAAGAACACTACCAGTCCAAGAATGTGGTGCTTGGCGTTAATCAAACCATCTCAAAATCCTCTCCATTATCATTTCCCGTTGGTTTGCTTTTCGTCAAAGGCGCCATGAAACAGCCCTGGTATGGCTGTTCTACGGGCTAGGTATGGAAGTGTGGCCAGCTGATCAGACTGTCAGGAAGCTGTCCACTCAGCCATATCTACTGCTTGGGGTTAAATTTGGATTTCTCCAGATTATCCAGAGTAACCAGACTCGTGTGAGAAGTTGATCTGAGACCAAAGGATCAACTGAGAGAGCCATTTGCAGTGATCTTCTAGAAGAAAAATAAGATGACCTAGGGAAACTACAGTGAAGCCCTAACTAGAAGAACGGTGCAAGTTTCTCCACCTCATAAATAAGAAATTTTGAAGTGGATTATGTTAGATTTCAGCGGGTCGCTGTGACAGATGCTTTCAAGTCGCAGGGTTGAAGCTGAGAGCGGGGCGTTGTTCTGTTGGGTCAAATTCAGCTTGTCACAAATCTAAGGTTTATGGCGGGGCCACCCTCAACACTTCCCGAGTTCAAATTGTCGGGTAGGACCGCTTTTGAAGCATGGGTGTTCCCTCAGGCATGGAGAAGAAGCGTTGCACCAGCCCGCCTGGACACACGGCGTTGGCACATTCGAATGCGGCCACGCGTACGCACGCTCATTGTAGGTGCTAATTGACGCAGCCTGACCTCAAAGCAAGGCATTATCAAGACTGGCCTGTCCGTGCGCGTTCTCTAGCGCACACACATAAACACAAACGCAATGTTTGGCCAGACCAACGCAAGTTACAGATACACACACGCAGCCGCACTGTTGTTTAATCTCGGCCTCTTTGACACTTGTTTTCCTACATTCAGGCTGCAGTGGGTGCAGTCGATTTAGCATCAACATGAGCGCAAGATGCCACGGTGGCTCACTCCACTCAACTGCTCCTCCACACCTCGAACCAACGCCGCGCCAGCCACGTGGCACAGACACCACTATGCACCGCTAGTCAGGTGTCGCTTTATTAAAAACAGCGGCCGAGCATATAGAAAAACTGCAAATAAACATGTGAAGATTATTCTGGATGATCGATGTAGGCATTAAAGTTAGGTGAACAGGCACGAAATGCCCCGCAATCAATGTTTGCGTGTAGCGCCAGGAGCGCTAATTAGAAATATCGCTGTTTCCAAATATTACTTCGACTCAACATTACTCATTTCATCTAATGTTCTGATCACTAGCATCATGCAGTCAAGAAGGCTAGTTTGCGTTATAGAAGTGGTCATGCTTTTCAGACCAATCTTATGTGAGAACATTTTGCACGCAGACACATCTATCACAACTTAGATATCTGTGTGGCTGGCACTACGGAAGATACCTCGTCGCTTTTATCTCACCTGGACGTGCTCAAAGAGCTTGATCTCAGGTTGGTTTGCTTGGGACCGATCTCCACCGATCGGGCTGAACCACAACCTCCCCACCCACTAACAAAGCAACCGGTCTACAACAAAATGCTCGTTAGTGTGCCTAGACAAGTCAAATTCCAGATGGCTTTAACCTTTTAACTTGAAGTTCTCCCCTAGGCTAATATTATTCAGCAGCAACCTCTTCCAGTACTACCAACCTTCCTAAATTGTGTTTTTCCAATGATTCCGTCACCAAAGGGCGCCTTTTAACTAGAAATCTTTTCTACGCTTGTGAACACTGTAATGTATTGAAAATCAGGGTTTGTGCGCAAATAGTTTCTTTTGGATCGAACGGTATTAAAATAGAAGCAGTAATGCAGTCACAGACGAACACATCAGAAGACGCAGTGTTAGCCGGTCTGAAAGCGCCTTAACACTTAAAAATGGGGAACAGTATCTTTAATTTGATAACTTTTCCCACGAATGCGAAACATTTTGTTCTACTCAAGTGTATATCATACGTTTCCTTTCTATTTTCAGATATCAATTCAAAGTTGTTGGCAATTTGACATGGGAATGGTGTTTCACGGCGAAGGATTGACATCCCAAGCGGAAACGATCCCGACATTCAGTCACTCGATGGGCGACGATGAGGATTTGAGGCGCCACACAGCCAACCTCCCTGGGACCGCCGGGTGGTTTTCGCCGTCCGTCGTCGGGCAAAGTGAGAGCCAACACTCAATTACCCAGCCACTGCCACCACCTCCTGCTCCTCTTCCATCTACGGTGTCAGCGGGAGCCAACCTTTATCCCGACTCAATAGGTGGTTACTATTGGCCTCTGAACAGCGCTTTCCACCACCAACACCAGGCGTTTAAACATTGCCAGCAATACCAACCGGGGATGAACACCTTCGAAACCAGTATGTTCACTAACCCTTAACCATTATGTTTGCATTTCCTTAGACTACTTAGTTGTGAGCCTCCTGAAAAAAATAGCCAAAAAATAACCCTATCCACCTATAATGAAGCTGGTTAGATGTCATTTAATCAGTGAAGATTTGACTCACAATCCTTGAAGTGACTGTGCACCACACCAACTTTATGAGTATGTCGGCATATGCCCACCAAGTGATTTTGACGACCGCCGTCAGTCATTGTGGGCGAAATTGTTAACGTAATTTTGTTTAAATCACATTATTCGTTACAAAAGAAGGACATTAAGTAATAGCTCGCCAATGGCTACAATTTCTTTGGGATAAACATGAAAGATTTCGAGACTGGGTTAATGCTGATCGGGTATTAGCTCACCAAAAGGTACTGGGACTGCGCCACCCACTGGAACACCATTGCGCTAAATTCGCCGAATTCTTCAAAACCTGGCGCGTGTGTACTTTCGGAGGCGTCTAAGCCAAGCCACGCGCAAGTTTATACAGTTTGTGGAATTGATTTCTTAACCTCCGCGTTTATATTCACTCAAATGATTTATCCGATCAACACCTGGCTGCGACATTAGTTGGGCGCCATCGTAATGTCCTGGTGGAACGCTATGTTTAACAGGTACGCACATGAAAGAGGCAGGCCGCCGACTTTCAACAAATATTTAGCCACAGCTTAGTGTTTTCATGTGCGTCTCTGCGTGAGCCATACAACCTGTCTTGGACACATCTTCATCGCTAGCTTAAGGAGAAGTACACTAGCGACTATTCATTAACGAAATTTCCTCCAGTTCCTTTCTGTCCTTCACCTTTGTGAAAATGTTTTGCTAAGCAAGTTGGCATTAGCTTTAAATCCCCTGCAGCTGCCTGCATTTGCTTGGATATCACCACTATGAACGAGCGCTGAATCCAGTCATCCCATTAACCACTGTCGGATCTCGTTGACTGACACGTTTAGGACTTAGGGTAATCACAAAGTACCGACAAAGGCACTGTCAGTGGTCCCATACCTGAGTTGGTGGCAACGCCCGGTCAAACACGATTTCGGTGGCTTCGGGCACTCTGGCATTGCACTGAACTAGCTGCAAATACGCGCGGGAAAGGCCCTACAACGAAATGCGACAAAGCAATAACTAAAAGTTTGTGCTGTGGCTAAATCTGTTGTGGAGTAGGAGGCGGTGTTGGTGAAGCATGCGGAAGAGTGCTAGAAATCACACTTTCAAAGGTCACAGAATAGCGATAAACTGGCTCTTGAGTGGCCAGCAGAAAAATCAGTTATCTTCGCTAGAGCCACCTCTGTGAATTGCACGGATAGAATGGTTCCAGTATATTCAAATTGGTGTTACGAGTGATAACGGCTGAAGGTTAAGTGAACAATTTGGGCCTCAAACTGGCTCTCGATGTGTGCAAACCTTGGTTTATCATGTCGAAATGAAACAAAAAGATAGACATCGTTCCCTTTTTCTATATAATTTCTTGTCTCAAGATCTGCTCCCTACAGGGGCATTGGCAGTGCCACTTTGGGTAATAAAAGTGGATGTGATTTGATTTATTTCCCAGAACTGTCCTGTGCCGCATTTTTAAGTAACACCGCTGACAACCCGCTGCATATAAAGTTCCGTCAGTGGGGATTTTCTATTACTATTATTATGTATGTTATACAAAGAGTTAGCGATGGAGGCCATGAACACAGAATTGCTGAATGCCCCTCAATAGTTCCTTCATCTTTTGATGGCGTCCGTTTGCCGCACAAACCTTGGCTGTCGCCCGGGCTGTGCTCCACGGGCCGCGCGAGGAGAGGCCTGAGGCCCGCAGAAGGAGGCGGCGGCGGCGGTGGTGGTGGCGGGCGTTGCGCGCATAAACACAGACACGAACGCCGTGCACGCATGTGCGATTTTAATAAATTACAAGTGACGAAAGTCGCTCTGTGTGTATAAGTTGAAGGAGGAGATGACACGCACGCGCTGTGCAATGTAAACACAAAGTTCCAAAGGAATTTTCTTGGATGTCCGAAGCCAGGGGTCACTGAGGTGTTTCAATCGCTGTGTCACATGTGAGCACGATTAAATAATGGAAGGGATTTAAGTAAGCGACGTTTCTACGATTTTTATGCGATCAGTATTAAATGCCATGTGGGTTTCTAAAAGCCTTATTTTTCAAATGGACATGAACCCGGTCTACTGCCAATTGGGCCTACTATCAAGTTCCACAATAAAATCTACCTTGTACAGGCAATCAAGCTGGTTATACGAGGGTCTGATCTAATGCCAACCACAAGAGGGAGTTCCCGGTGTAGGAAATTTATTTTTAGTTCGTGCAAACAGGTATCCTGTAAAAACACAGAGATTGATGACAGAAAGCCGGAGTAACTACACCTAACTCTGCTCACTGAAAAATGTGTTATCCTATCTCGTTTACCCCAAATTCAATGTCATGTGAGTCTCACGGGCAATAGTGTTAAAAGTATGGAGCAGACATCCATTTAAGTTTGTATTAACTTTGATACTTCACTCTTTGGTGCATTCCTTAACCGAAACTGAACTGAAGTTGAAAGTGACAGACCTGATGTGTCAATTCACAACTTGCCAACTTATGAATAAGAGACGTGTTTGGCTTAGCGATGAAATAGTTTATGTTTAGGCGGGGAAAAGATTAGCGTCCAGTGTTGTGACGTCAACTAATCCCCATTGCAAGGGGGCGGGGAGGGGAGGGGACGTGAGGGGAGGGGATGGAATTGGGGGACGGATTTTGAGGCGGCGTGGGCGGGCGAGGAGCGGGCTCCTGGGCTTCTCACTTCCCCCGCGTAGCCGACAGAAATGCGTTCTATCGCTGTTCATATTTGCTATAAATTAGCTTTGAAAACCGTCTCATTACACTTGCGGTGGTGCAATTTAGTCGTTCGACTTATCCAAGTCAATTAGTATTCACAATCGTTCGCGTAAAAAAGCCTCCATAAGACTGAACCGTATGTCATAGTTTAATAAAGATAATGATTTCCATCTCAATTTGAACTTACCTTGTCACTTCGCAATGGGAGACTGCTAGAGGAGTCCTACCTACGTAGTCGCATGCTTCTGAGAACAGCGGTGGGTGTTAGTAAATGGGGGTAAAAGTTATAAATTTCTCCTACTTGAAAATGTTGTAATTAGGATTATATCGTTTTTTTATCATCGAGGCATTATTCGAGTCTGAATCCGGTAAAGTGTGCCATGCGTGCTAAGAAAACTGTTGGCAGCATGTTGAATGTTTTGGAAGAGGTCTTCGAGTGGCGCTGACCTGCCTATTTTGCTACAAGGTTCTTGATTCATGAAGAAAAATGAATACTTTTGGCACACTGATTAGGTTCTAATGCTCCCAGCGCATGCAAAAGGTGGAGTCAATACTAGCTCTGACTTACTTGGATAATTGATTTTCATGCCCTGAGTTAACATGCGTTTTTTCAGCCCCGTCTTTTTTATAAATTTTCTCCTCTTGAAAGTTAAACAACGTGAACTTTTTACGATTTTGTTTGATAAAATAGCAGTCGAACAGTTGAACCAGTGCTGGGAAGGGGGCATGCCATTTTATTAACAGCTGCGAGGGGAATCAGCTGTTGTTTTTTGGTGTAGGATTAATGCATGAGTTGGATTTCTGATTTATCGCAGTTAAAATGACCACGAAGGTTGTGCGAGCGATCGACAGGGAGACAGATGTTGGGGTGACGTGGACGTGAGGACCGGGGTGAAGTTTCTGTTGAGGGCTAGTGAAGTCGGTATCTGTTCGAATAACTTACTCAAAAAAAGCCAAGTGTCATTTGACCGCTTGCAAAGAAAAGCGCTTCTCCAGTTTCGTATCTTCTCGTGTAGTTTTCAAAGGGAAATTATGTGGGCTCTTCAGAGCCTGCAGACCACCATTCATATTATCGTCGCAGAGATAAGAGCAGGACTGAAGTTAGACGAGATTTGATTGTGCGACGCTCTAACGCCACCCTACATCCAACGTTGTTGAGTGGCATCCCTCGTGGTTTATTTGCGTTCTGTCTTAGTTATGTTTTAATTCGGGGGAAATAAAGTGGATGCGCATGCAGACAGGGTTCGTTTTTTACGTTCTCTAGTGTTACTAGAGGAAGGCTTTTTTGCTTAAGCGGTTTAAAAAAACTTCACAATGACCAATGGAGGATAAAAGCGTTGTTAATTTAGCATATGAACGGGTTTGATCAAGTCGAGGGTAAAAAACCCTTGAAGACCTTCCCCGGTCCAGTGTTTAGGATGCAAAGGCATTGTTCATCACACAAATGTCCGCACTTCATCAAACTCTTCCCCTTCATGGTTGAAGTTGAAAATTTTGCTCGCACCCGAATTTAGGAAAGGGGGTGAGGGTTATGCCACTTAAAAAAGTTCAAAGTAAACTTGAAAACTTTGACTGAGGCAGGGCGTCACCTAAATCCGCTCGTGGAAGGGGGCTGCCGAGGGCGGAGGGAGGGCGGGAGGGAGGGACGATGAGGGGGAGGATTAGGTGGACGCAACAGCTGCGCATGTGGCCCCACAAGGGACTTGATGAGGGAACACAGGTGTGAGTGGAAGGCCTACAGAGTGTTAACAGATTTTCACGCTTTTGTGGGTGTGACCCCACGTGCGCGCGTGTGTTTGTCAAGTCAGAAAGCCTTGGGCCAACACCGTCAGCTTAGATCCCAAAGTACCAGATGAGAAGGCCAGTATGAATTAACGTCTTGATCGACCATGGAAACAAGTTACTGGCTGAGGGTCAGGACTTGCTTCATTTGTTTAAGCGGCTATCATGGCCGATCTCAGTATTCCCTAAAGTGGTAGCCCATGAATTTTACACCACTGCTTACGTCTCCATAAGCAAATCTCCCGCTGAAGTCATCAACAGACTATAGCGAAGACTTGAATTCGCTTTTGACAACTAATGACGGCATAAATTTTGACAGCAAACAGTTGATCGAAGTATTTAGCAGGATTCCACCTCTTCAAATAATTTTTAATAGCATCATCTAAACTTACATATCGTAAGGTCAACTTGCCCAGTGAAACACGAATAAAACTACCATTCTTTTAAGTTGTCGCAAAGTTGATTCGCAGATCAGTTATTCTGTAAAACCATGGAATTAATACACATTGCATTAAAAAGTGAAAGTCCTTTCACAGCTTTGTCTTTTCGTTTTGGGCTTTTTTAAATACCCCGGATTCCTTTATTTATGCTTTAAATCACTTCACTTTGATGCCTCGAGGAACAACTGTGGGGTCGACTACAAGTAACCTGCTGGCAATTACAAAGTATGAATTAAGGTAAATATTCGCTACAGTTAACAGTAAGATTATCAGCTCTCAAGTTTTTGAAGGCATCAAATGCTCCGTAAATACGAATAGTGACGAAGCATGCTAGGATCCGGTTGGATAAAACGGACCTATCCCAACCCTCTTTCATCATTTTGCGCAGCAGAACGCCTGAGCCTACCCCAACAGCCGGGCTACTGCGACTGGCGCTGGTCCGGAGTCACCAACTCTCCAGACAACTCAGGTGCAGTGGGTCGTCAGGCCTCAGCTGGAGCCAAACAACCATGGTGCACCACCAACCACCACGTTTACTCCTTCGCAGTCAGTCCTCAGGATATCCCAACAAAAAATGAACCTACCCTGAACGCGACACAGCTTCCGACTCACCGTCGAAATGAGCGCAGCAAACGACCCACCACCAGGAACACAGGTGGAAGGCTTAAAATCAAGACCACCTCCCAAGAGATAGCGACAAGAGAGACGGGAGCAGAAGAACGCGAAGAAAATGGCTGTGCTTCTCGTAAGTAAATGGTGCCTTGTTTATTAATACTTGGTGTCTACACGACAAAAAATTCAAAATGAATTAAGGGCTGCGATGTTCAGCAAATAACGTTTAAGTATAAAGGTTCAAATGAGTGCATAGAATTTCACAAAAGAGTTAGCAGTGCCACCACAATTTAAAGCTCGTAAGGGTGGAATTAGGTTGTACGCAAGGATTTAGAGCCGTCGAACAACTCAGAAGTCATAAAACTCGATTTAGGAATGCATAGGAGTTTCTTCGAACAGTAGTTTCCTTCTGAAAGCTCCGGTTGAAAATTTATTGTAGTCATGGATAGCAGTGTAAATTCATGTCCATTCGTTGTGAAACCGACGACGTTTAGTTTCTTACTTTCATTACTACTTAAATAAGTAAATACAAAGACGCAGGTTGCTCCAAAAAGACGTATCCTTTTAGCTTGCGGGGTGATTCTGCAGGCAGCAGCGAGTCAGCAGCAAAGGCGAAAACCATTTGATGGAAAAGTGAATCCGAGCCCACCCTGTAGGGGACCTTTTCTCGTGGACCCCTCACACACTCCAAATGCCGTCGTCTGCTGGAAGTGCAACATGGTGACGCCCCAGTCGGTGAACACGAACTGTGCCTCGCCTGGTGTGGTTGGCGCCAGCCCCACCACCATGTGCGTCTGCGAATTCACCTGCACCCGTTCTGCTCCACTGTCTGTCAGTCTAGATGACGTAAGTTAATGCATCGATCATGAACAATTCCTTTTAAACACGTAAAATAATTACATTAAATGAGAAAAATATGGGGCCGGAATGATAATGCGCTGAGCAAGTTCAAGCATTCTTCAATTAATTCCATTTACATTCCACTGGCTTGAAGATTCACTGCTTTTTAATTTCCTAAAAAAACGACAGGATGTAGTCAAATCGACTACAAAAGATGCGAAATTATAATGGTAATTCAATTTTACAAGCGAATTACCTTCTAAAAGTTTTCTAAAATAGTCTTTTTAACAGCCTTGAAGATCACTCTGATTCCGATACACAGCCTTCCATTTGTTTTAAGATTTTCACGAAGAGTTTGGAGTCGTCGGAGCGTCAGGCGTCGGCGCCACCGATCATAGGGGCAAGTCAAGTAGGAGCTTATGGAGAGAGCACGATGGGGCTATCGTCGACCTCCCTTCAGACGTTGCCATTCACCCCAAAGCAACTCCATCATCAGTCCGAGATGAGCAGCTGGGCCTCGGGCTCTCCTCTCTCCTCTTCCGCAAACGTCACGACAAACAACATCAACAGCAACACTTCGCCTTGTTTTCCTGGTGCTCATGAGATTTCGTCCTCTGAGAAGTACATCTGTCACCAAACAGGTGGGTCTCTTCCCTGTTTTCGCTAATAATTCTTGAAAATAGTCCCCAATTAGATGTGTGCAGTATGACGTGAAATAAGGCAATTAGTTGACCGTCTATTGACACCATCAATTACAGTCTTAATAATGCTTAACAAGAAAATGACTTTTTTTAAATATCCGTCCTTCTGACATATGCTGTTATCCTCCTTCGGATGACCAGTCCGGTCCTCTACCGGACTAACCTTATCAGTGATACTTGGAAAGAAAATTTTCCAGCACCACTTATCATGTGCTGCATATAAAGTGCTCAGAAAAAAAGCAAAGTATCATGCGATTAAATAGTTGTAATGAACAATCTGCGTGATTTAGATCCTGGCTTATTTAAATAAACTTGACCCTCGACACCATTGAGGCGAATTATATGAGAATTCACTAAGAATCGCAGTTGCATCTCTAGATTGGGAAGAAAGTTACAAACCAGAGGCCCCGCCATTGCCGCCAAAATCAACATTGACGAGCCTCGACTGGATGCTTTCAGAGGGTTCGGGTGTGGAACACGAGGATAAGCTTACGAACCAGTGGTTCGAAGGTGTTCCCCCACAGATGTCAATTGGTTCATTCCGCAGAGCTGGAGTTGGTTGCAGTGGAAATGGTGGGCAGATCCAGTTGTGGCAGTTTCTTTTGGACGAGCTACATGACCCTCTATCTGCACGCTATATCTGCTGGACTGGTCACGGGGCCGAGTTCAAATTGAAGGACCCCAATGAGGTAGCGCGCAGATGGGGATTACGGAAGAACAAGCCGAAGATGAATTACGAGAAATTGAGTCGTGGCCTCCGCTATTACTATGACAAGAAAATTATTGAAAAGTCAGCTGGCAAGAGGTATGTGTACCGGTTCTCCCCGAAGATAGAGGAACTAATCAAACGCGCTCCAGGAAGCACCAACAGTGGCAACAGCAAAAACAATGAGACTGGTGACGCGTCAGCCTAACTTTAAGTTCTTAACTATCCTTTTGTATGGATAAATTTATACTCTGTTTTTCTGTGAGCATGTTGGGCACAAGTATAGCATTTGTACGCAATATCGAAGGCTGCTATCATACTACCAATGATTAAATCTTATAAGATTTGGCCTAGATATGGAGGACGACATTAATACCACAAAGATACATCAAAGACTATCAAAGTTAAGCGTCTTACCTAGCAAAACTGACGCAAAATGAGGAACATTTTTTAATCTTCTAATTCAATCTTCTTCTTCAAACATAAACAGACATAAGTCCGAAGCATTTGTTGCAAAATATAATAGGTGCTACCAAGTTCAAACTGGTCTGATAATCATGTTTCTGCTTTAAGTGTGCTTCTGCACACAAGAAAAAGGGGCGCGAAATTTAAAAATATTGCATCTTTTTTTGTAAATTACGTCGGGATATGGTCATGTTCAACTAAAATTAAAAAAAGATAGTGAACAAACTGATTACAACAAATACACCGAGTTTTAAATCACTAGACCATCAGACTTCCTGTAATAGTTAAAAAAACTAGACACTCCAGAAAGGTCTGCGCAAACCAAGTGCAGGCAATGTTAAATAAATTCTCTTTGGACTGCATCAGCATCTGTCAATTTTAACATAAAAAACAGAAATGTAAACTTTTGTTTTGCGCTACTGAAGTCATGCGAATGTCCACCACGAAGAAGTTTAAAATGAAGGAGGTTTCTTGTTTATAAAGCAATAAATTACGGAATGCGGAATTGCATTGGGCCAATTAAACCACTTGAATAATCAAACAATTTTTTGACGTATGATGGAGGAACGATTACTAAGTTGTGAACAAAAACTACCAAAGCTATTTTGTGAATTCACAGGATCATATCCGTGAATGCAGGGACGCTTAAGAAAATTATCTAGGCAACTCACTAAAGCAACGGCATTCTGCACGATAAAGTTTCACTAATATGATCGAATGTTGAGTGGGCTGTCTGTGTAAGTTAACATTCGTGTACTTTTGGCTGGTTGGGTATTTAAAGCTATTTTGTGATACTTTAGTACTGAAACAAAGCCCTTAGCAAATTTCAACATATAAAATGAATAACTGTCGAGGCATAACGAATGCAAATGTCTAAAATTTATACCATCTTGAAAATACTAGCAAAAACAATTGCAGAACTGTTAGTGAATAGATGTCTTTTGCAGCATAATTGCATGTGATAGTAATTAGGATATTCATTTAAACCTTTTCGATTAATTCCAAAGACATGTTGACTAACGAACAGCATCAACTATATCACCTTTCAAATCAAAATGGCACAAAGGTTCTGCTTCGAAATTATTAAAAGTGGTCAACTACAATCCAGGTCGCAAAATCCAAACTATTTGTTGACTAAATTAAACACTAAATGGTTGAAATGCATATATTTAGTCTGTAGATGACACATGGTGACTTCTACGCTATTCCGCAAACTTATTTGTCAAGAATGAACATAATAAAAAGAGCATGGGAATGAAGGTTATAGAACGAAATGAAAATGTCTTTATCCCAAAGATGTAGCAAATACCTTCTGTGAATAATCCACATGAATTTGATTCGGGACCCGAGAGGTCGCTCGCCTCTGCCATCGCGAAAAAGTAAAAATATGAGTCAAGATTTTAAGTTGCCTGGGATAAGCTGTGTTCTCATCGTCATTAATGAAATAATCAAAAATGGTGAATCGAAAATTTCGCCAAATGAAATGCATTAGATTACTCTAGGCTTCTAAATCTAAATCGACATTTTAAGGCTGTAAACATAAATGAGTTCTCCTTGAGCCAACAAGACCGGGACACTTGCACGTCTCCAATGGCATTCATCAATGTTTCTTAGACAAAAGGCAGACTGGCTATCGGGATTCAGCACAATTCTCTATCAAGACTAGGGTGACAGTTTAGAAGCCTAAATACCTTATCTCTATGTACTGTATCGTGTGTGAAGCCCATTTCCTATTGCAAATATTTGATCAAGAATTTAATTAACGATAGATTAAATTATATGTCTAGCCCAAACGAATTGATGTAAGATAAAGAAACCTAGATATTGATAGTGAAAGAAAACTCGAAATGTGTCATGAAAAGTTACCATTATGCTAGTGATTTAAGAAGCAATTTTGTGATATCAGATGGTTGGGAAGTTTCAAATACTTACATCCAGCATGAATATTTCAGTGTAAAAAAAGCATAGAATTTATTTGTGGAAGTGAAAAGCAAAGTAACTATTCTGGAAATTGCGGAATGGTAACTAAAATATGTTTGAATTGTGTTTTATTAAGAATGTTTTGTTTTAACACATTATATGAGGTCTGAAGAAAGTCGACATGTCAGCTCTCATCAGGTTGTTTGCTCCTGTTCTGCTACTTCCTTACATTTTTAGTGCATTGAAAGCTCTTTCTGTCGTTTAAAGCTGTTTATTTAGCCGTTTGCCCCAAAACATGCCATATTGTTGATCAAATAGCGATAATTTCTTAACAATCATTTGCCTTTCTCCGGATCCTTCGTCGCTTATCTGAATGCGTTTGTATCGCTTGCCTTTCTTAGCATATGAGGTCATAAATCACCTTGAAAAAAACAGTTGTAGGTGTATGTTACCGTGCACACAATTCCAGTTTGCGTAGCACTTTGCAATTATTTCCGTTGTAAACGTATTTTCGGTTGTCCCCCATGTTTTCTCCTAATTTGTTATTTCATTTATTATTCAGCGCTATGTTGCGTGCTCCCATGGCACCTTTTCACGGGTTGGTTTCAAGAAACCTCTGCATGATGTCGCCGATGGCTTCGCCTAAGCTTCTTCGTTGCGCTCCGCTACTGAGCACATCAAAACACACCAAAGGCAGTACCAGTGAAGAGGTTCGTCTTAAGGCCCAAACCGAAATGCAGGATTACTGGGAAAGAAATCAGAAACTCAAGCGTCCATGGTCACCTCATATTACCATTTATTCTCCACCTCTGTGCATGCGCAATTCATTCCTCCACCGAGCCACTGGTATTGCCATGGCATTTGGTAAGACCAACTGAATCTCTACGCTTGGTCATTAATACTGTAAATTCGGGAAAATATGACTTTTTTTAGTCTGGACTGGAGTCGGTATTGCTGGCTTCTGGTACACTGGGAATTTCGACGCCATGCTGGAATACGTAAATAGTTATCACTTTGGACCATCTATTCTGTATGGTGCCAAGTGTGTTCTTGCTTACCCGTTGGTTTATCATTATCTTAACGGCATGAGACACCTGGTAAGTGTCGTTTTTTCGTTTGCGCCTATTAGTAGTAATTGATAATATAATTGTTTTTCCTTTTAGGCCTGGGATTATGCCATCGGCTTTGACATGAAGACCGTTAATCTGACCGGTGCAACCGTTCTTGTTGTCTCAGTCCTTCTAACCCTTGCATTAGCCTCCATCAAGACATAAAACCCATCGATGGGGTTTTATGTAGTATTACACAACCGAAATTAATACCCTTGGGTATCTGCTTTTCCGCGTGTTTTTTCTTTAATACCAAATAATTTGTTAGTCGTCGTGCGGAAAGCTGCAATAAACATGTTTTTAGCGTCTTAGCTTTTATATATTGCTGGTACCAGCAGCGATGCCATTGGTCTGATCTTATGGTGGTCGTCAGTGCGCCAAGCCGTCAGGTCCGGGGGTCAAGTACCGGTTATCGTCTTTATGTTACTGGATCCTTGGGAGTGAGTACTTGGTTTACGTTATCTGTAAAGGCCGTGGTTTTACGATACTTGTTCGATTCAGAGGCAAGTATTATACTAAGTTCTCACGTAGCTCCTAAGGCAGGTCTCTTGCTTTAGGGTTGTTGGCATCAGTTCAAAAACTAGTGTGACCACTTGTCATCGGATGTCTCCGTTGGGATTTAGTACTGCATTTCAGGTTGAGGTATTCAATGCAGGCCTGGTGTGAAGGCGGTCTCGTCCTTATTCTTTAGCGCTTGCGTATCACTCGTGATCTGCTTTCGTATGAGCATGGATAGAATTGGATCGTCCACGGCCAAGCCTTATGCGATGCCTGACTCCATAATTTTTGTTTTTTTTTTCAACCAAATTGCTCTAGAGATGGTTACCTGAAGCATCTGGCACAGATGGAGGCGTCGTTATATTTACCAATATAGAAACCAGCCGATATATATATTTTTGAAAAATCACATCCCATTTATTCCCTTCCTGAATTGATACCGACAGAAGTTAAATGACTTTGCTATGTGGTTTTGTGTTAAATTGATAACAGCGGTCTCAAAGTAATAGGATCCCAGAGCGGGCTTCTCCAAGGTCGTTCCCTGTCCAAATTGTTCTCTCCCTGATCTCAAAAAATCAAATACCGCTATATTATTGGTAAAGTAATAACCAAAATAGGTTAAAGGTGCTTTTTCAATTTGGTTGGACATGCGGGGTAGACGATCCCTTTTAGGAACAAATATATTTTATCTGCCGAAAGATAGACCTCCCTAAAAAATTTTGGTGGTGCAACCATTTATTAGGCCACATCACAAACAACTTAAAAAATCCCTATTCAAATTCAGGTTTATAAACAACAGGCGACTTAGAAAGTCTGCACAGGCACTTTCATTAAGTGTGAAATGCGTAATCTGTAATCTAGTTAACTGGACTTATTTATGCATCTTCACTTTCGGCAGACAATGGTTTGGAAGCAAAGTCGTTTTGGCATTCACAAGTAGCATTACACTTCCTAAAGGAATCGTCAATTATTGATGTCACTTTTAGCTTACTTTAAAAGTAACTAGAGCTGTTGTCTCCACCTAAAGGCTTGATGTCTACTTAAGATGGGTTGCGAGTTACACGTATTCTGTGCATTCTGTTCTTATCTGCAATGTTAAGAAAGATTTATGGAGTTTATGGTGCTGGTTAATTAACAATACGCGCACTTGAGAACTGGCTTAAACACTACGCTCTGGAGACCTTTCATGCAAATTTGCCCAACGTTTTGGCAAACCCACTGCAGTTGATGATAACCAAACCGAAGCTGTAATTCTGTCTGATCGTAGTCATGAATTTGTGTGCGAGGGTGAAGAGAGACTAACAGCACAATACGCGTAAACTGATAATCGCCTAGACTATTTTTCACTCATGAAAAGGCTCTATATTTGGGTTCGGAATGGGTTTAAGATTTCACTTATCGCAATTTATCAATAGAAAACGATAAGGCGCCAAGCGCGATGAAGCAGCACAAACCAAGACGATTCCTGAGAGGCATAAAATGCGGGTTGCAGTGTCAATCTGGTGGGGATGAAATGGTCTTGTGTGTAGAGAGTTCCTTCCGATGAACCAAACAATCACTTCAAATACTCTCTGTCAACAACTTCCGAAGTGGAGAAAGCAATAAAAAAAATCACCAAACTGTGGAGAAGACTGATGCTATAACGATAGCCCAAGCCCTCGGACGGGTTTGGTAAATCGGCGAAAATTGTTGGAGGCCTTTGTCGAAAAGTGTCGTCGCATTTTGTCCTGACCCTGTACCATCATATTGCCACTTGTTTCAAAGTCTACGAAGTTGATGATGGTTTAGGTGTCACTAGTGATTGCGACGACCAGATTTTGCTCTCAATTTTGTTCTTTGCTTATAAGAACGTGAAGTTCTATCAACAACGACATGAAAGTTATGCAGAAGATAGAGTTCCCTTTTATTTTACGCTGCAGCATCTTAATTACTTTATTGCCATTACACTGGCCTGAAACACAAATCGAATTAAGTGGCAACAAATTAGGAGAGAGCACTGAACAGCAAGCCTTTAGCGAGACCATGGGCCTTGGTTCGAGTGCGTGCGTGTTGCAGACTCTTATTCGAGCTTGTGGAACTTCAAAGTATCTTACTTTGCATATTGCTACAACTCCTCTGTGGACAAAATTCAGCATCAATAAATGCATCGTGCTGAATAAATTCCTGCACATTTTACATCGTGTTGGTTCATAGTTTGCATTGATGTGCAAGACAACAAATCAGAGTTTTAGTTAGACTATATTCGTGCTTGGATAAAGGTGACTATTTCGGCTTATTATGCAAGCCACTTGGCTATAATGTTAATTTTGAAACATTGCTTCGTCCGCACGACCTCGAGAGCATGTGTTCGTGCTATCTATTGCCTTGGCCACGGGGGTGCTAGAACGTGCTAAACCGTGCTTTTTTCTGTGCAGGCGGGTCGCGTGGTTAAAGTTAAGCCGATTTACAAATCAGCCTGCTGACTTCAGAAAATATGCATGTGAATTATTTATAGTTCATACCATGCTAACGCGAACCTTAAAAAAACCTGAGAGAAAGAATTCGGCAACCGTACACTTGCGTTCGTTTATCTTGAACCTTATCATTTCCGCGGTATTTCAGCGCCTCTTATGTCACGCACGCCACACCCCACGACATCGAACTCTGTTCATGCCTGGCCTGCCCAACAATTAGTGTATGGATCGTCTCCTGTTTCTCGAACTCTATCATTCAGTTAGCCCTCTTTTTCCTCTGTCCGTTTTGTAACCGAGTTCCGAATAAAGTCTTTCAGATGGTTCCTCTCGCCGTCCCACGTTTTGCTCCAAGTGTTTGCCTGGATTGTGTATCTCGCGCTGACTCACCGGCAGTCCACCTCTCCTCTTAGGTCAGATCCCTGCTCGCGCTTTACCTTTACACGGTAGTGTGCCCATTACACTAGCTCACCTCGTTGACACTATACTGCCTTGTGCGTACGTAACCACTGTCTTTTTAGTGCTCGCGTTAGCAGGCAATTCAAAATTAGTGATTGTGATAAGTTCACAAAACTCCGTACCGAATTTACCTATATAAGGTCAAAATGCAGTTTTCTGATGAGATTATTGGAGCAGGATTTATCAACAGTTTTCACTCAGACAACATCAAAACAAACAGCAGAATAAATATGCATCAAATATTTTTAAATGAAAATTACGCAGCATGACGAATTTATCACGGCTTATCTTGACTGGTTATTCAGAAGCTAATTTGGTGACCGCTTCAACTTCAATTATCTATTTGTCTTCAACTCGATTGACAGATCATGTAATTGCACGTAAATTAAAATTGATGAGGCAGTGTGAAAGTGGTTTCCCTTTCTAATGCTAGTAAAAATGTACAATTAGGAAAATATAAATAAGTGACACATAACAGCTTCCGAGTTTAGTTCTTGATTGAGGAACAAGAAATTGCCATGGGATTTTTTAATGAAAGTGGTTGAAATTGATTGATTCAGTTGACAGATAAAATTTCCACGAGAGACCTCAAATGCTCTGTTAGCTGTGGTAGAAGCAACAGTTAGATTGTGTAATAGTAAAAATAATGAACGGCTTGTAAAAAGTTAACAACTAATCCAATAGTCGAATGATAAGTAACATACTCTAAGAATGATTTGGTCAGAAAATCTTCCACAAAATGAAATTGAGAACTGAATGATTTAGCAAATAGTAAGAGATAAAGTAGCAGGTAACTAGTTGGTTGGAGATCAAATAAGGAAAATCATTACTTTGTTAGCGGTTTATCATTTCACAATAAAAAGTGCAATGAAGACAAAAAGGCTGTGTAAGTCTTCTAAAATGAAAGGTTTCGGTGTTGTAATTGCAAATCACCTCCAATTCTAGGTATTATAGGGTAAGTATTTTGAATCACCAGAAATAGTCGCAAGCAGGTAATTATACACGCTCCCCCCAGATCTTCCCGTTTTTACTTGTTCCAATGATTTATGCGTGCGGTTATGTATTGAAAACACGACTTTTATACTACGTTTGCTTCATACCTTGTAGACAGTTTCAACAAAAAGCTCCGGTTCTGTCATCAATCTTATGGCGCTGAATTAGTAATAGTAACGTCGTTCACAGGAATACAGAACTAGCTACCGGGTGCATAATTAATGTAAATTAAGGTTAATTAATTAATGTTTCATCGCAGTGTCCTACATACTATAGCATGTGATGCTGATATGTAGAGCCTTTTCGCGTCCTTTACTAGTGTTTAACAGGTATTAGAAAAGTGTGGCATAAGCCAAAATAGTAATTATTGTGAAAGTATCAGGTTCAGTCATCAACATAATTTTTAAAGCAATTTGCCAACAACGGACTTCAGACAAGACTGGTGATTTATAAATAAAAATTAATATAGCTTACAGCCATTTCACTGCTTCGACAATTTGCTGACCCAATCTTACTTAATTCCTCTCGGTCGATTCCGAAGTAGTTAACAGAATGATTCCTAAGATGTATAGATTGTTGTATTGAGGGTCACGGCATGTGGTCTCAAACCACGCCGAAACCACTGAATTGAATCTCTCTCGGTTACAGTACCCTGCAACCTGCAATGATGAAAATCAAAGAGCACATGGACACAGCCGTTTACTTCAGGGGGCAGCCAAGTTGGTGTTGTTGTGCAGTGTCTGGCGTTTGCGCGGGAATTTAAAATTCAGCTGTGTGAAACAGCGTGAGTCATAAATGTGTCGTCCATAACGAAGTGTTTATCCACAAAGTCAATTAGGTTTAACTTAAGAAGTGGTCACAAGAACCTCGAGTGAGATGACTTATTGTTATACCATCATGCCAATGTACAGCGGTAGCCCTCAAAGTCCTAAAATTCGGCGATGACTGAAAGCCATTTATAAGTAAGTGGTACGTGCAAGTGAGCGTATTTGTTAGGCAACAACACAGTAATTAAGAATTTGGTAAAAAAAAACCTTAAATTTCAGCCAAAATAGTTTAAACACGCTTCTATTGATAAGTGAACGTTGACAGTTCACAACAGCTCCACATCATAATCGAATAATTGGCCATAAAATTGGCTTGAAACGATCGAAAAATGTGGTAGTCAAAACAGTCTCTGCAAAAATGGGTGGGGTTTGCGCCCAAACCACACAATTGCGCTGAACTTTACTGTGTCGAAGTTGTTTGAATTTCAATCACTCAACTGGCGTCAATTGAACACTGCCCCATTACGATTTAACAGTGACCAGAGAAGCAATACTCAGATAATTTAAGTAAATCAAGTTCTAACGTTAAAGTCCATGAAAAAAGGATAGGCATGTAGCGGATTAACAGCGATTGCGCCTGAGTGAACTCTGTTTATTGACCTGACGGTGACAATGACTCATCCTCTTTTCATTGGCTACTGTTATCAGATGCCTGTCATCCGTTCACGCATCCACACACTAAGACACACACTAGGCTGGTGTGACGCTAACAAATGATCATGTTCTCTGTGACCTCTTGTTCCATTCGTTAAGGGTTGTTACGGGCTGTTGACTGGAGGGTTGTAAGGTAGTGATAAACTCGAGCTTCAACAGGTATTTCCTATTTCATTTTCGATCCATTTGGGTGATCTAGAAAAATATTGCTACCTGAATAGAATCTTAGTCAGAATATAGTAAATCAAATATGGTACACAACGAAATTCTTACAGCTATCGAATTGCAGAAGTAATACCCAAAGAAAAGATTTTTCAAGAATAATTTGCTCAAAAACAGCTGTCGATTTCGGAAAAAGGTGTAAAATTCTGCCTATCAGCAATTTTTTACAAGCCTTAAAACACGTTAAAGGGCAATAGTAATATTTGAACAAAAAATGACATAAATAGACAGACAAATAAATCAAATATGTCTCATCATTTTAAAGTTACTGCGTGAATAGTAGCAGGAATAGACATTGCATCAATAATCGGACGAAGTTTGACGTTCATTAAAATACTAAATGAAGCAAGATTCCCAAATCGGGATGATTTTTAAGTCTTCTGTACGCTATTTAGCTAACATTCCATAAGTGTTTAAGTTAACAACCCAAAATTATATTCAACCTCATAGTCAGCTTGCGCGTGTTTCCAATCAATTTTCAGCTTTGTGGAAATGAAAGCGCTTATTTTAGTAGGCGGCTTTGGAACTCGTTTAAGACCACTAACATTAAGTGTTTTAAAACCGCTTGTCGAGTTTTGTAACCGGCCCATGTTAATGCATCAAATTGAAGCTCTTGTTAACGTAAAAATTATCTAATTTTTTTTCAAATAATAGGCTGGTGTGCATACTATTATTCTTGCAATTAACAAAGAAGCCGACTGTCTCGAAAAAGAAATAAGACGAATGTGCAAAATGGTAAAATTTCTAAATATAATCGTGTTTAGGTAGTCGAAAATTGCAAGGTCGAAATTGTATTTTCTTACGAGGTAGAACCACTGGGTACAGGTAAACGAGGTCAGTAAACACGACGCGTTTCATTAAGGTGGTCCACTTGCAATGGCTCAAGAAATTTTGGGTGGTTCCGATGAACCGTTTCTTGTTCTCAATGGTGACATAGTTTGTAAATATCCCTTTGAGATTATGGTGGAGTTTCATAAATCCCACGGAAAGGAGGGCACCATGGCCGTATGTAATCTCCTTTTGTATAGTTTTAGGTGACGAAGGTAAAGGAACCTAGTAGGTTTGGAGCAGTTGTCTTCAACGATCGGTCAGGGGCCGTGCAACGATTTGTCGAGAAACCTTTTGATTTTATTGCAAACAAAGTTAATGCGGGGATGTATGTTTTCAACCCGTCAGTTCTGAGTCGAATTAAGGTGGGCCCTTTGTGGTTATTTTTTTTACTTATAAGCCACAATACACGTCACTTGAAATGGACATATTTCCTCTAATGGTTGATGAGGGTGAACTGTACTGTATCGAGGTTGAGGGTGAGTGCTCTATTCTATGTTACGATTTTAGTATTTGCCAAGTTTTTTATTACTTTCGTCTCACAGATTAACATTATTCTGCTTTTGTAATGGTTTACTTATTATGCTACATGATTAATGCCCTTGAATTACAGTGACTTCCCAAGCTATCACCAATTTGAAATATTACAGCCCAAGCGCATATTTATGATATGCTCATTTTGAAGTTTTCGTTTGGCTCACATTTTGCATAATTATGACTTAAAACACATGCATCTAAAAATATACATATATTGCATGTTAAAAACCGCAGAAAAATAAATAAAATGATTAATGCACAAGCAAACCACATCGATTATTCAAAAAAATAATGTTTATTCATGGATGATCAGAACTTAAAAGAATGTAGGGGTTTCTTGTTGCCTTTATTTAGAAGATTTCCACTCAAAACGTAAGTGAAAGTAGGCAATAAATTCCCACATAAAAATAAACGGAAGCAGAACGTCCATGGAATTACTTCTGCGTTGTTGACGTTGCAAGAGCTGTCATAACTAAAAGTACATATAGGTAGTTCGACGTGCTTGTCGTTCATCAATGTAAAATCTTAGATTTGGGTAGATTTCGAACCAACTACGAAATATTATTATGAATGCTGAAACAAAAATAGTTAGTTCTAATAGAGCCCAACTTTTTACAAGGATTTTATATTCCAGCAAAATCCTCTTGAGCGCAGAAATCCCAATTCTGTTTTTTCCAAGTTTGGCTTCTCTACTATAAACTTTTGATTAAAATACGCTTGACATGTTCTCGTAGAGTAAATGAAATCGCAAGCTATGAGTTTTTATGTGCAGTAACACGTTACTTTATAAGTTACAACGTGATTAATTATAAAAACATATTGGTTATAGCGTCAAATTACCTTAAGTGCTGTTTCCTTATTGTTTTTAGCTGACCATCAAAATCTCTTTGTGTTCCGAAATATGAGCAAATTTTTTAGATTCCGTTAGCTATAATGTTGGAATAAGTGACATTTGAGTGGTCGTTTCTTAGCTGATTGTCAAAATACATGTTTTAACTTAAATCACAAAAATTCAATTCTTACTGATCACATTTTTGGGACTCTAATACCCTTCCCTCTAACTTTACTATCTACATGTTTCCACGAATGATTACTGCCTATGCTCTATTAGATTTTAACAGGGTACATTTTAATCCTGATTTTGAGTGCCATTTCATCAGGTTATTAAATAGGATTGGCATTTTTAAATAATTCCAGGGTGGTTTGCACTTTAATGATGCAATATTCTTTTTCTAAATATGTATATCATCAAGTCTAATCCACACGGTAAAAATTAGAGTAATAAATGTCGAGCGCCGTTTTGTAACTTATTTCTAACTTCGAAGACACAACGTGTAATTCCTCAAAGAAAGCTTGCTTTCACGTCTGTGTAGACATCATCATTCAAGAACCACCAATATATATTGTACCTTTAGTACATGAAGAATAATATCATACTATCGCATTTACACACTTTAATAACTCCTCTCCATCACTTAAACACAACTGCCTTTTGTGAACATGCATAACAATATGCGTATAGGATTTTGGATGGACATTGGTCGGCCTAAAGATTTTCTACTGGGAACACAACTTTACCTTGAATATTTGCGACTGAATAATCGTCTTGAACGTCGAGATTCCCCCTCTATCGTTGGTGATGTCCTCATTGTAAGTTCAGACCATTTCAAGTAGGCAAGCAGCATTTATATTGCCGATCTCTTATTTACAGTATTTTTCATTAACGTACTTGTGATAATTAGCTAAAGATTTTGGCCGAAAAAAGCCATCTAGAAATAAAAGTAAGGTACTTTCTCACACATTCAACTTTTGTATATACCGATGTGAACTCTCTTGATACTTTAGTTTCCCTTGATCAGCTACTTTAAAGAAGGGAAAATTACATTTTTCTAGTACAAACATCGGTTTTGGATTATGCAAACCTTGTTACACCGAATGTATTATCATATTATGGCCACTATCGCCAGTCCCGCGTAATATCTTTACTGAGTTACTATTTACTAAAAATGCTCTTTTTAGCATCCTTCCGTCAAAATTGGTAATAACTGCATGATAGGCCCTAATGTAACTCTCGGACCCGGTGTTTGCATAGAGGATGGCGTGCGAATACGAGATTCTGCCGTTCTCAGTGGAGCTGTGGTGCGCTCTCACTCATGGCTCGGTGAGTGCATTGTCGGATGGAACTCCGAAGTTGGACAGTGGGTACGTCCTTTGTGACTCTAAAGAGCTTTTTTATTCCAAAATCATGTTCTTTATGATTGCATATTTGAGATAGTATAATCACAAACATCTATTTTGTCATCAACAGTAAGAGCCCAGCGATCAAAGAGCATGAAAGAAAAGTCCGCAGCAGTAGTCATCGTATTTTTTTCTGCCACTTAAGTTTTTGCGTTACAAAATTGCGTCAGCTTAAATTGGGTTTGCGCCATCCTAAAAAGAGGTGGATGTTGGCTTGCAATATTTTAATTTATGAAACCTAAGCAGAACGAGGGAAAATGAAACCGCTAACGAAGGTAAAAGTATAGAATTGGAATTTCCCATGTAAAAAGGTTCGCAGAATAGCACGAAATGATGAATATACGCCAAAACCAGCCACTTTATGTCTCTAATGCGGATTCTTTGATACAACGAGTCCGAAGTCAACTTTACACTCATTTTTTTACCTTGAACGGTATGGTCAGAAGGTTGATGCATGGACACGAACGAGGTATTAATTTAAAGAGAATTAGCTTGGCTAACTGAAGGTTAACTCGAAATTAATATCTCAAGTGGCAGACCACCAGGGTTCTTGCAACCGGTCTGAAGCAATAAAGTAAACCTGGCCTCACCTTATTTAGCAAACAAGGAGTAAAAAATGCACCTAAGACCAGCGACTTGTAAGGCGACTGCTATTGGATGCTGCTCACAAGCACGCACAATTTTACAAGCAATACATGGATGTAGAAACAACTCATTCATAAATTACTCAAAATAGCCATTGATATTCCGCACGACCAATCCTGACTTGGCGGTTAAGTTGTGTGCTCGAAGGTAAACAAGCATCATCAATATTTGTCGGGGACGGACAAGGTTGAGTTTTGACTGGCACGTGAAAAAAATGAATTACCAAAGTTTGAAAGTATCTGTCAAATAAGGTTTGTGCGGAATAATCTCATGTAAAACAGGACTCCATTCCATGGAAGACGCTCCATACGCCAGGTCACACAGACTTGTCAAAAAAGCCTAAGAAAGTTAAGTTGCAAACTAAGCACAACTTAAGGGCAAATTTCACGAGATGAGATTCCCTCCTGGATAACCTGCGTCCTTCTACATATTGGTGCCACTTGAACCCACCACGTTTTATTGCCTGGGATAATGCACCAGTTGGACAATTTTATGGGTAAGGGTGGTTTCGTTTACTTTAAATTTGAAAGTAAACTTCTTTCTTTAGACTCGATTAGAAAATGGGACAGTTCTAGGCGAAAACGTGCATGTGAACAATGAAGTACTCCTGAACGGCGCTCTCGTATTGCCACACAACTCCGTCTCTGAATCTGTTCACGAACCACAAGTAATCCTGTAGCACTCAACACCGTGTTCTTCACGCCCAGATCTATTCAATCCATTTTGATCTTGCATCGGCCAAAAAGCATGAACCGTACACTTATCAAGCGGGCGGATGCAAAGCTCCGAGCAGCAACTTTCGATAATGTAGGAAATCGGATTCCCTGCATTAATAAACGCTAACAAAATTCGCATCTGTTTCTAAACTGTACATCATTATCGTAATTCATTCCCTTCAGACAACATTCAGAAAATCACATTTTCGAGAATCAAAGAAACTCACAAGTCTGTCTAGTAATATATGAAAAAGAATTCGATAGGAACTATTTCTCTCAAAAGAACTGAAAATTGGCAGGAAACTCAAGTAGCGAGCTGTAAAAAATCATGACTAGATACTTTAGGTAAAGGACACAATATTTATTAAAGAAAGCTTTACATTGCATGCATATTTTCATTTAAAAAAAATGAAACCATGTAGATACATCCAGTACACCAAGTAAATGTTGCGATAAAAGGTAATTTCATAACGTTTGGTTGCACGTGATGAGACCCACGACAGCCAACAGAGCGGTGCATTTGAGAGTGGGGTCGTTTAAAAAAGTGATTGGATTTCGAGGTTTGCGATAAGCTCGTCTATAATAAAGAAATCGAATTTTTAGTATAATTGTGAATCGAATACAATTTCGCAAAAGTAACTAAACTTTAGACAGCGAAACAGCACATCGGGTAAGCTTGGCAATCATTGCTAAGTTGAAAACGCCTAAAAATCATTTTGCAAAACGACAAAATCATTCTTAGCACACATTCAGCAGTATGAGACGGACTTATGACTCCTTCTTAGTGGCCGCACCTGTGAAACTTCCCTGGAATTAAGTCATTCGCTCAAGCAAGCCTGCTCGCAACCGAGACAATTTCTCGATTCTACACACGGGAACTCCAATGACTAGCTCCATCAGGTACACCGCCACGCTGCAAGTCTTACATACTTTATACACACTGAAGATAAGAAATAGCTAACGCCACATGTCAGGACCAGCAGAGTAGTTTAGTTGGAACGCGGACAATTTTTGCCTAATTTACTGCATGTGGTTTTGATAGCACTAAGCAATCACCCTTAACCGCAATTTTCCTCTACGAACAATTATACAGCTGGGCTCTGTGTAGTTTAGAGAACAAACAGCACTGCAAAGCTCCTTCCGCTGATATTAATGGCTAGAAATACGCGCCAACGGTCGACTCTCAAAATGTCGAAGTGCGAGAAAGCAATCTACTGCGCACATACAACAAAAAATCATTAAACACCCAACAGAGTTGAACAAAGTAGACAAAAACAGGAGTGAGAAGAACATCGCTGGCCCATGGAAGGCTTGGAGCAGTGTTTAAATTTAGAGAGAGAACTTACCGTGATCCTACTTCCCGGTTCTGTCTGCGGCCCGACGAGCGTCACTGGGTGGGTCTATACGACCAAAAGAAAGAATTATAAAATGCGTGCAAGGGATCAGCATTATGCTCCCTCCGCATTCCAAAATAGACATACTTAAAGCCAATAGGAACATGAGAATAGGGAACGAATCGCTATTGCATATAACCTAGCAGGTGTGAGGAACGTTTCGTCATCCAGAGTTTGTGGTACCGTAGCATGTCTCATCAAGGTTTCAAAATCGAGACAAATGGCAAATTTTATCAAGAATTTTGTCATATGTCAACTACCACTCTAACATAAAAGGCATCCAAGAAGTTTTTGAGCCTAGGAGAACTCAGACACCTTCTCAAACACAGAATATTTAACTGCGAATCAGTATTGACCTAACTGACATCAATTTTCTCAGAAGTTTGCTTAGGTATGCCCAAAGTCACCACATACAAACCCACACACAGAACATCGTCTGAATTCAGCGATATGCATTTGCACACCACGCAAGAAGCAGCAATCGACTTGGCGAATTGAATTCATAAAGAGTCACAAGGAAGTGTGAATCGAATTCGTGGAAAACATTTAACTGGCAAATAGTTGTTTCATTGAGAAAGTACCCGAAAAAAGTAACAAAGTCGGTGAGTGCGGGCAAACATTATTGGAGTTATACGGCCACTAAGTATGCTGGGTCACAAAATTTCAGGTTGTGTGTTGATTGTCAGATGTGCTGCATTTGGCGACGTTGAACAATCATGTTTGCAATCGCGGGTGACTTAACTTGGATGGATGCTTCCAGACAATGCTCCTATTCACAAATCGAAACACATAACTAGTTAATGGCCCTCCACTATGTGCACAAGTGGTCTAATTTATGCACAATTTCCACTTAGCGGCCCGGATCTCAAGACACTTGAATTCTAAAAAAATTATCTCCGGTTAAAAAAATTGAATTTGCTTCTCCGAACTTTGCGGACTTCACAGGCTGTCGACAATGTAACTTTGTAAATTTCTACCAGGTTGTAGCAAGTAAGAAATAAAAATTAGACACGTGGTTTATTATAGGTTTGTGTTTTCTTAAATTAAACCACTTGCCCTAGAAACTAGCTCATCAAAAGTAAAATGAAGCTACCGGATCATGAACATATAAACATGTCGATTGGGCGACTTCATTCGATGTTGATGATCCCTGAGCAATCGTATAATAATCAGCACTTAGTGTTTCTCATAGCTCGAGGTGGGGTTTGCGGGGTCAGGAGGCTTACGTGACTAGGTATTCGAGATTTAAATTTTACAATTAAGACACAAACCAAGCTGTAGGTTGACCGAAAATTGAATCTCCAAATAGTAATGTAGAGAAATTGCTACTTCCAACGAAACGTACCCCTTGTGATGTTGTACTGCTGCTGCCAGCTGCGGTAATGTTCTGACATTTTCGACAGATCAACGAAAGTTTGTGGCAACTCTGATGTTCTCATTTGCTGGGACTGTTGGTGCTGTGTTCTAGCCACAGTTGACGACTGTGTCGTCGGTGATACCGAGTGAGCAGATGATGAAGAATACGCCCTTGAAACAGTGTCCCAATTTTGAAGAGGTGGCTCTTTTGCGTCTCCTGAATTATTTTGAAGCAGTGGTTGTTGGCGGCGACTGCCAAGCGGGGATGTGTACCGTACGTTTTCATGCCCAACAAACCTTTGATTTTGTTGTCGTTGTTGCTGGTGAAAGGCATTTATAATGCTCGAAACGGCATGAAGGGTGATGTTTGTTTGGTCCTGCATAGGCAAACAATTAGTGCTGAAGGCTTCAAACAGTAGGATTCGTTTATCAAAAAAAACCTGTGTGCCTTTTTTGAAAATATTGCACCGATAACCAGGAATTAACACTTACAAGGATTATCCGAAGACTACTATCGGATCAACAGATTCCATTTACTGTGCTTGTCGAACACGAATTATGTTAGGCGCAGAATAAAAGAATCATACAATGAAATGATTTCTCATTTAGACTTACGTGCAAAAGATGCAGTGTCAAGAAACGAGTTTAATAAATATAAACTCGATTGAGTAAAGGCAGTAAGACTTTCAAGTATTGCACAGCGAAACCCCAAATCGCGCAGAATGCAGTTTAGGACTATTCAAATACAAAGCAAGATGAGTACGCTTGCCATCTTGAATTTTCCCGAGAGCCTCCATACCTATGTTTTTCCAAAAGTCAAAGTCTTAGGACAGTGATGTTCAAGAAAACCCCAGATTCCTCTTGTTAAATGTTTTAGTTTGAATGTGGTGCTCCAAGCGCCGAGATGACTTTTAAGACAATTAAGGCGGGGCTGATGAATATCCTGGCCGCAAATTGAGGCCCTAGTTACCATAACAGCTAGGCTGGTAGCTGTTACGTCAAATTAAACCAAGTTACCACGTAATTCATCGGGTCTAATACCAAATGGTGCAACATACACTAGTTCTAAGGCTTCAAGAATAAATGACGACAACAGGCCATCATATTCGCTCACAACTACGCAGTAACGACCTTGGTTGGTGAAATGCAAAATCTTCGGGACTAACCCAATAGCCAACTCCTGTTCCCAAGGATGACGCATTTATCTTTACAAGTTAGTAAAAAGGCGTCACACGATGTTCCAACAGATTAAGTTGCAAAACTCAGATTTTCATTGATTGATATTGGAATTTTAAAGTGCACAGCAAGTTAAGACGACACAAGACGTTGACATGGTCTAGAAATCGGATTTCAGTTATTGTTTTCAACAACTCCACACAGTAAACATATCCTCAGCAAACAATTTCTGCTTTATTTAGGGTGCGCATTTTGATTTTTATTTTGGAAAAAAACAAGACTCACGCTACACATTCACACCTGTCCACAAACCAAAATACGTGAGCAACAAATAATCAGAGGCTTTCTCTAGACGAAGTCGAAAATGCATGCGCGAATCCCTTCACTACAAGACTTCTACTGACAAATTACTAATCAAGTAAGGCGGGGGCAAGATGATATGGTTAGTTCTATAGCGCCTACTGTAGATTCTTAGATTGCTGGCAAGTCCACTTCATTGCATAATCTTCGAAATGTCGTGCTTTAAGTATTGGAGAAATTACCTGCTGCGAAGTGGCTGTGGTAGCAGTGCGACCAAGAAGTTGACCCATCGAGACAGAAACAAGGGGTGGTTGCACTGCCGAGGTGGAGGTGGCGGACGAGCCCTGTCCCTCAGAAGGGATTCGTCGAGCCACCACGGAGGGTGAAGTCATCGAAACAATAGAGGGAGGACTGAAAGAAGAGATGGGTGGAAGAGGTTGTCGCGGCGGTGATGCCAGACAGCCCTCTGTCAGATCGATCAGGGGTCCAGCAGTTGACTTTGGAGGAGTCGGTGCACTTTTGTTGGGAGGAGCAAACTGGACCATGTAGACACCCTCTTTGGAACTACGAATACCGGCGTTGCTCACCCATGACGTGATTATCTGCGAGGAGATATTCGACGGAGCCGTGTAACGTGCATTCGGTGTGGATGAAGAAATCACAGTAGGGAGGGTCGTTTGTGTGACGGGCACTGAGACGGGAGTTGATGACTTTGCATTCACCACAGAAGCAATCTGCTTATTAACAGTACTCAAAGAAATAGACGTCTTGGTGGGAAAACTTGTTGTCACTGCAGGTCTAGAGGTGGTTAATGTTGTAGTGACTGTCGTCTTTGTAGACCACGCGGTGTTCTGAGCAGCCGGAGATGAAATTGTAGCGTCATTTGCGGTTGAAGGCATACTACATGCGTTTCAATGGAGAAAAGTTAACAGCCTAATTAACCGACAAAACGCATGGAGCACAGTTTAGTATTTTATTTACTCACTTTATAGAGTGCCAAACACAATCAAGCCATTATTATTCCCATTACTCCTAATTACAAATGGGAAAACTTAGAAATATAAACTTACAACGAAAGCACCAAATGCAAGTCATCGTTTGCAACACAAAACAGCATAGTTCAGTAATAAGGCTCCATTACATGTAGGCTACGCTATGCATTACGAGTGAAGCATAGAAAATTGAATTACAGTTTTTTATTTTGCAGTCATTGCCTCTTAGTAGTCCTGACTCTTTAAAATGAACTTGAGTTTGTGATAAAGCAGAGTATTTGGATTTGATGAACTGTGCATGAGTTTTCATCGACGATGTGCGGTTAAAACAATACAGTTATCGCTCTACCGAAGTCTTTAGTCCTCAGTTTCCTTCTGGTTTAATCATTTTAGTCAAATGAGAAGCCAGACAGAATAAAACCACAAATGAGTCACCAGAATTAGACTAAATAAAAAACTCACAGCTTTTGCTTCATGGTTTGGTAGGTCAGCAATCCAGCCCTCCAAAGTGACCTAAAAACCGACAGGTTACAATAAACGAAAACAGATACGCAGAGAAAGGCATTAGTTATACCTCATTAATTTCCGGGCTGGAAAGAAACCGGAGACTGGTCCGTTGGTTGGGAAAAGTGTTATCGGTATAAAGAAGCCAGTTAGCTTGTATTGTTACATGGTCAATTCTGAGACTAAGGGATAGAAGCGAATTTCACACGCCCCCATCAGCAAGCAGCTCACATGCTTCAGAAACGAGAGCGAACTTGAATACTAAAAAACGGGCCTATCAACGTTGCATTTCTGGCCATCATCAGTGCCAAACTAGTTTGTTCAGAGCCAATGAAGTAATCAAAGTTCATGAAAATTGCTTATAATAACTAGAGGATCGATTAGTGACAACGAAACCTGGCCGCTATTCCAGTTCCATGCCCCAAGTGAAATTAATAGAGTAGCATTCACAATAAAGTAAACGCCGGATATCCTGTTCAACCATGGCAATAGAGAACTTCGAATCCGTGAAAAACGACACCATGAATAGTTCCCGTGAGAGAGCAAAAGATCACTGCAGCAAACGGTTTAACTACCGTACAAAGAAACGATACATGCAAAGTACTTCTTACTACAACTGAGCCGATCGCTTTAGAGTTCAACAAAAATTGAGAGGCCAATTTAGTTAATATCAGAGATGTGACCTCGTATTTGGAGTAAACAGAAGGCTAGTTAGGGTTTGCTTTCAGAGATTTATAAGACAAAGACATACGCAACAGAAATCCAGTTGTCGGGCCAAAGAGGAATAAGAGTATGCAGAAAGCGCTTCATTTGTTCCTCATCACAACATTTCCCTGTTGCATTAAATGTTGCCTCCATTCGGAAAGTCACAATACGCTCCAAAAGATTTCTAAAAGTCGATAACATCACACATTGAAGAAGACCGGTAGCGCGGTAAAGGCTGTCAACTTGGTTACGCAGTTTGCTCCTGAATTTGTACTGGCACGAGTCAGTAAAAACAGGAAGGGGAAGATTATCGATGTGCTGCTGCCTAATTTGAGCCCTTATCTCAGCAGGTATCTCATGGTGCTAAACAAAGTTCTCCCAGCAAGAATAGATATGTCGGGATTAAAAGTTGTCAGCAAAGTGCTCGACTGATTACACCAAAAATAATTAAATTCAAGGCTAAATAGGCATGCAACACGTTTGTAAATAGAATAATTGAAGAATTAGGACTCAGTATTTTTCGCTATTACAACGTTACGCGTATTAAGAAAATAAGCATGCGGATAAAAAAGGCGCATATGTAGTTATGTGAGGTCACTGTGACTGAAGCGATAAGCCAAAGTTGATTGAGCGTTAAAAGCGCAACTAGTAAATTGTCCATACAAACACGTCTCACAAAATCTTGAACAGAGTGGAAATGCCAAGATTACTGACTTAATGGGATGAGGTTGGGTTAGGCGCAGGAAAAATAATTTGGTGAGTGGTCAGTAACCAGAATTAAACAGGGAAAAAACACTATACTTTTGGAATTTAGGTCCCTATTGCTTCAAGACCTAGTTGATATAATCTGCGAAGACTAATAACCCAATGAATCAAGCTGCACAAGAGACCTTGGTGTAAAATCTCTTATCAAAATACACGACCTTAGCCAAAATAGGCGATAAACTTAGTCGAAAGAACAAAACGAATCTGAGGTTTCTTGATGACAGCGATTTACGACTAGGAAGTAAGAGTGCGCTTTCGCTTATTTGGCACCAAAGTAAACAGGTCGAGCTTACTCGATCCTGAAAAATCAGACACTTTAAGCAAATAGTGTGTCGCTACAAAGTCGGGTGAAAACAGGTGGGAACGGGATAGGTTTATATTCAAATAGTAAGAAACGATAATTACAAGATAATCTCTTAGTAAATTGAATTGCTAAAAGTCAGCCTTACTGAGTAACATCTTAACGCACAACTTCTTTTAAACGAAAACCAACGAAAGATGAGACGACAGATGGGAAAACGCAACAATAAAGCCTCAAATATGCCACAAAAGATACTCAACGTGAGCATATATCACGATGCTTACCGACAGTCTGAATTCCATCGAAATATCTTTTTTGGAGCCCCCGGCCGCTTTAATTCAGGGTTTGTTAATTTTCTGAGAACGGAAAAAAACAATCTAATAGATCACAAGTTAGTGTTCTGAATATCGAAATCGTGCTAAATGACGCCTGACCAGAAAATTCGTCCTAGCAAGGCAGATTTTGGGTGAGTACGTAATTTCGAAGACTAACTTGCAAGAAATACTTCGAAGTGACTGCATAAAAGAGTGTGAATTGACAAACAGGACCTTGCAATTTATATGAGTCACTCCTAAAAAGAATTCTGAGACAAAAGATGATGATTGGTGGGAAATGTCAATACAGCCAGCTAATCAAAATACAACAAACCACAATGCACAGAATATGTGTAAACAAGATCCTGTTGTGAATCGCGTTTATTCACATCCCTTAATCCGGCCGATCCGCCTCCGACACTGGGTTCCCCTTTTCGCAGCATGTCATTAGCCTCAAGGATCCTCAAACCCCCCCTCATTCACACAATTTATCTTAGATTATCCTCACACATAGGTCTCGATGTTAGCGCATGTATGACTCACACATCCGAGGTATGAATACACACACGGAAACCCCAAACATGACAACGACACCAGTTCTAGTTGAGCTCTGAAGTAAACGATTGTGTCCCGTCCTCTTCGGTCTTTTCCTTTATCGCGAGCATCAGGCAAGCGTAATCGGGCCAGGGTTAATTTCAAGACCACATGCTGGGGCCCACAACAATCTCAGAGACGGTAGGACATGAAAACACAATTGTTTGAGGAACACCAATATTATGGTTATGAGAGGGTTCGTGTCAAGAACATGAGCTATTAAAAACAATCAAGGCTTTAAAACCAGCGTACGCTGACAAACGATGTCTACTAAAACTACCCCTCTTCGAGGAAGTTTGAAAGATTTTAATTGGTGAAAAGGGGAAAAGTGACTTACTCGGTCTCCCATGTATTCAAGCGTTCCTGGTAGCTTGCAATGTCGCGATTATACGCAAACAGAATGTCAGACATAGCTTTTGAAACAGCTACAAAAAGATAAGGTTCCATTATAATATTCAAAATGGGCAGAATTTCGAGGATGATGCATACAGACGTGCAGACGACCCCATTACAGATATTTACCGAAATGTAAAAAGGGAGAAACTGGTGTAAGCCCAGAACTTACCACTTTTAAGAGCAATTAACATAGGCTCCAACTTCGAGTCATCTTTCAGTTCTTTTAATTTCCGTAGTTTTGCAACGAGTGTTTTACGTTTCATGCCGAACTGTTCAGCAATGTATGAGTAAATAGCAGACTTGGTCATTTTCAATATATTTTTTTCGGACAACAGCGCGTCGAACCTAGAGAAGTTATACAACGTGTTTTAGGGGCAAAAAATGACGTCTAAGATTAGTTCAGTTACTACCTTAAAAGCTCACTATCGAATTGGGGTGAAAATGTAGATTTTGCTGCGACCGAAGTAGATGGTTTGAACTAAAATAACGAGAAAAAGTTAACCAATAACGGCACATAGATGTCGCACGATGTCGGGAAACGAAACACACAGCCAAAAGCTTCCGAACTTCACTGAGAAGATTATCTGGAATAGGCGGCAAAAGACGGGAGTCATTGTGTGAATTAGTAGCTGACGCGAACTTCAGTGTAGACGCGCTGTTATTTGGTGCTTGTACGGGTGACTTGTATGAAGTCTTGAGGTTTTCTGTATTCAAAATAGGCGATTTAGTCATATCGTTTGTCGTGGGGACAGACGAAAGAACGGACTCAAACACGGCATCAAGAGAACTGAGTCCGCTCTTTGTGGTCTTATTTGCCGTCGACGAAGCAGGGGCAGCTAACTGCTTAACAGCCCTCTGCAGTAGTTGCCTAGAGATTATAATGAGAGCAGTGCTTAAATAAGCCATACTTTGATTTGTCCTTTTTAAAATTCGGTCGCTTTGATGGGGTGGGTGAAGATGTCAGATCAATTTTTGGCTGCTTCTGAGCACCTGGAGGCGGCTCGATATCCATAGATTTGTCCTCAATGCTTTCCAGGAATCCTTCATTGATAAAGAAACCTCCATGTTTTGTTGAGAGAGTGGGAGCGACCACCAACTCTACAGCTTCGGAATCATCTATGAAAGAGTCCTGGGAATCATAACCTTCACCATGATCTATGAAATCATCCACGCGAAGTCTCCTCTTCTTGCCTTTATTTTTGACTGTTAGCATTTGACCCTAAGTTGCAAACTGAGGTGGTTTCATAAACATACATATTTCTTCTCGAAGGACTTCGCCAGTTCCACAAGATACGAGTCTTGATTGTCGATTGATCCATTTAAGTCCGACTTTACACCCTAGTAAATAAAAAACAGGCCACTTACATTGAAAGCAAACATAGAACACGTAAAACGCAAATATAGCCACTCCCGTTTAAAAATCTACACGACCGTTCATTTTGTTCCAAATTAAGCCAAGTTTCTGTAGTCAGCGTTTTTCTTAGCTATTGATACAGTCGTAGTTTTCGCAGCTGAGTTTCAAACAGCTTGCAGGTTATGAAAGGTCATAAAATTCATTTCACAAAAATTTAGAAATTGACTCAGGAAACGGGGGATCTGGTACCAATAAATAGGGAACCTTATTTTTTAACCAAATAGGCAACCAAAGTTAACGGAGTCTAATTGAAACCTCGACAAAGGAAAAAAAAAAATTCCGGTCGTGGATGTATAAAGTTTGAAATCAAATAGAAGGCTAAATGAAGTACACTTATTAAATAATAAATTCGACAATGTTACATGGGTTAGCAAAGAGAACCAACCCACAAAATACATCAAAACACGAGACCAAATACATGAAAAGTAAGAATGAAGATAACGACATTAATAATAATAAAAAGAATCATTTTACTTCACAGATAGGTGAACCAATAAGAGTTGAGAGTTGGATGTTGCCATTTTAATGAATTCGTTCCTGCACACTCTTGAAAGCAGAATGAAACGCACCTACTACAAAAGCACAACGTGGCCTACATGAATGCAAAAAACATAGAAGCTGATCTCACCTCTTAATGAGGTTGGTGAAAGCATACAGGAACACTTAGTAGTTTCGAACATCTGAAGATAGACGGCTTTAAAAAGCGGCATTCACTAATTTTGAAAAGCATAGTCCAGATAAAGTCGTACCAGCTTGCATTCGACCAAGTCGATGTATGAGAATTCATTGCGGTTGTCGTTTTTCAGATTGATTTCCAAAACAATTGTCCTGTCGGTCATCGAAAGGGACGAAAGTACAACAGATTTTGCCCAGAATTCTAACGCCTTGATATAACGAGGCCGACCTACGCACAGGGGATCAAAGTAAGCCGAAACCTTGAGATTAAGACCAATTAGAATAAAATCCGTTGGTGTAGAGAAAAAGCCACGATATGAGGTGATTATATGTAGATAAAGAGGAAGTACAAAATAGGAACAAAAGACGAATAAAAAATTCAAATTAAATGTGATGGTGTGGGACATTTATAGCTAAAAAAGGCCTTTGTGTCCTAAATAAAGAATAGAATTAAGGAGGTTACTGATAAGTTTGATGAACAAGACTTTTTTATACTCATCCGCAAAAAGGATGGTAGCGATAGCGATCCTGTGTGGGTACGCTTTGAAAGGAAACACCAAGCTTAGTGACCAGGTATCCATGGACCTTAATGGACGAAAATGGGTGATCGTTGGGGAAAATGATGCGAACGAGAAGGTAAAGGTAGGGGAGGAATAACATAAACCATGTACGAACTCAAAAAGTAAACAATGAACTGGACGACATAGTTTCGGCTGACATGAAATGATTGGTTCAAAAAAGGAAAACTTGAAACTTATGACATACTCTTCTTTATCCAAGTTATTCACCAACCTTTCAAGAATGGAATTAGAACCCTTTTTAGTAGAAACCACATTTATCCCGGTTTAAGGGATAAAGCTGCAAAACAATAACCCATAATGCATCAAGCTATTAAAGATTCTTCATGGATTTAGCGTTTGAAAATCAGGCTATAAAAGATTCTTCATAGATTTATTGTTTGAAAAGAAATGAAACATATCATAAATTAAACGGGGAATGGCAGAATATTTAAATCAGGTTTCAGCAGCAGTTACTGAGAAAAGCTCATAAGCTTAAAGACAACCTAAAGTGACACCAGGACTTCGGGGTGCATTTGACTTTAAAGCCGACACCCATGATGGGAATCCCAACTATCGTTGAGCATAACAACGACAGCAAAGTCACTCGTTTGCTAAGCAGGTGATGATAAGAAATCAACGTTTTAGTTTTCCAAAAAACGTATTAATGAAAAAGCATCTAAAAATAAGCAGGAAACTCGAATGTTCAGAACTGATAGGCGATAACATAAAAGGCGCACTTTTGTTTCCAATGAACGATATTACAAGAAATGGGCGAAAACAAGATATTCAGTAGACCGTCTTTTCAAACCATTACAGAATAGTAAGTCAAAGACTAAAGAATGATACTATAAATCGAACGAAAAAAAAATCATTTGTCTTCATTACAGTAACCATGACCTCAAAGGTAAGTCATATTGAAGAAAACCAGCACCAGAGAATTAGAAATTTGACTACAATCCGGAACATCTAGAATGAATTTTAATTACCTTGCGAAAATGTCGCAACGTTTCAACTAGTAAAAGATCAAGATTTAGAGGGGACAATAACAGAAAAAGAATCCAGCGGAGAAGAGCTCAAATACCAACTGACCCTTGTTTATTGGTGAAGTTCAAGGCCACATCACCATTATTCGGTCGATGAAAATACTCTGAAGCAATGACATGAATAAAGGCAATTGATTTTTTAAAAAAATTATTTTATCCTTACACAAATCGATTTTTTAAAAAATTGCCAACATAAAGTAATCGCGATTGACTTGTCAGTCAAAAATGTCTTAAGTAAAATTTTGAGAAATTGGGACGGCGTGCTTGACAAGAGAGCACATTGCAAGTAGTGCTCAGCGAGAATCAGGATAAAGGCAACGAATAAATAAAAATGAGCATGAGCAAATTTTACAAAGATTAATACTAAAATATTATCCTTAAACATAACGAGGTCTTTATATACATTTATCAGGAGTGGATTCAGTTCCCCACTCTCTTGGCCATCAACACGATTTCCATAATTTATTTGGTGCGTGGGCTAATTTTCACAGATCTTTAGCGAATTTATTTTTTTAAAAAAACGGACGACACCGAACTTAATTTTCTAAATATTGTCCACCGGTTTCTATGACTTTCGGACATCTCTTCCGTAACATACAAATGCTGTCGCGAAACAAACTTGCAGGCATCGAGGCAACAAATTCATCGACGCAGTTATGCACATCATCCAGCGTTTTTAACTGTTAATCCACTAAGTTGTGCTGTTGCATTGACTGGAAACAATGGTATTCGGATGGGGCCAAGTCTGGTGAAAATGCTGTGTGTGGATGAACCCCCTGTCCCAAGCTCAAGGGGATTTTCTGAGACGCGCGAGCAATGTGAGGTCAGGCGTAGTCATTCATCAGCGGTATGACATGCCCTGTAAATGGCATCTTCTGATCAAGTTCTTCGTTCAGCTGGTTTAATTGTCGGGTGTAGCGTTCAGCGGTCACCATCTGACTAGTTTCAATGCACTTGTGAACCACACCCTTCATGTCCATCCAGATACACAGGAGAACCATCTTCAAGTGGATGTCCTATTTTGGCGTTGATGTACTGGGTTGCTTGGAATCTAGCCACGACGTTTGCACCTGGAATTCCCGTAAAAAGCATACTTGCCACCTCCCGTTGCGAATTTTCACAAGTCATTTTTGTTGTGACAGGGAAAGGCATGTGTCCATGCGTTGAACAAGGTTGTGTTCGTTTAACACATTTGGGGGGCCGAAGTTGAAAGTTGGTGAATTTTTCCCATTTCGTGCAAACGCTTGGAAATAGCTGTTTGGGTGATTCCTAACTGAGCTGCAAGTTCTTGTTGCATTTGCATTGAGTCTTCATCCAGTGGAGATTTCAACTCAGCATCTTTAAATTTCCGAGGCTGGTCAATAAAATTAAAGTTATTACTCCTATAACGTTTGTACCAATGATTGCAGGTTGCATAAGGCACAAGTCAGCACCACGAGCGTTACAAATGGATGCGGTGGTGCTTTAGAAGCATTTTTTCATTGTTTGGGTTCGCATAAAATGCAGTGCCATCGAATTTGTCGTATATCAGTCGCCATCGTAGACTGCTAGTCAGAGAGATTATGTAACTCAAGTAGACCTGTCGTTCGGTAACCTGAAACCCTGCGCCCAATTCATTCATTTCCACGAAAATGTTTCAGTTTTAAATATAATTTAAAGCTCGAATAAAGAATCTGTAAAGATTCTACACCTAGCACTTACTGCTAATCCAAAAGCTGAAAGACTATCATTAATAAGCCATGTTGGCACCTAAGTAGCACTTGCGTTAATTTGTAGGCATACTTTTCCTTTCCGGTGGACTATCAGAGGACGATGCAACGCTAAACTTGAACTTAATCAACAAGTTATCCGGAAAGAAGCCGTGGACCCTAACATTCAGCTTTGGTCGGGCAATGCATAATTCGGTTCTTGCGGCTTGGAGTGGAGCAAATGCAAATATTCCAACCGCTCAGTGCGTCCTCATGCGTCTAGCAAGGGTGGGAATTATTCTATTTTGCATTTCTTGCCAGTAATCTGATGTCCACAGTCTACCTAGCATGCATAACCACAATCAAAACTTGCAATTTAACTTTCCACCTTAGCCCCCACAGAAGTAGTTGACCTTGCCCACGTACCAGCGGCAGACAATTCCCTTAGCCAAAATGACTTTCATTTAACAACCTTCAGCGTTAAAACAACCCTATTTCAACTATAAAGTGTTATGATCAAGACCAATCGCGACGGAAGTACACTGGGTGACAGTGAATTTACTACTTGAAAGGAACTATTAACTTTTCACAAACTATTTCAAATAATTGTAACAAGCCGCAGACCATAGAAAAGGTACGTCACACGCAGGACTGAAGCCCGAGGCAACCCACATGGGAGTTACATCTTTATTCAGCTTTCCTTCGAATCCCCTTGCTCCCAAGTGAAAGCCCTATTTAAGTAGCTTGAAGCTTACCACAAAACTGTGAAACCTAAAAAAGCGCGAACACGTGCTACGAGGGAAAAGAGGTGCCCCTGGCAGAGATTATCCGTTTCGGATTTAAAGTAGGACGATTTTTGATTTTAGCATAACGCAGAGGCATCCATGGGTCGCTATGAAGGCATGAAGAAAAGTCCAATTGGCGACAGACCACTATTTATTGCCAGCTTCGCCTATTAACTTTCAGATTCATTTTTATGACGCAAACAATAAACGCCACTGGTAACCACGTCTAAACTAGAAAGTGGTAACGTGAAATTTATTTTCCAATAAAATGACATCAAGCTGCACTTTTTACCAGTGATGGTCGCACACGGGCCAAATGATAGTAACTAGGGGCCAACACTATCAACTAGAAAGAAACCGCGGGAATCCCACTAGCCAATTACGGAAGGCAGGATTTTCCATTTTAGAATAACAGCGAAGCCTCGATGGGGTTCTACGAAGTGCCAAAGAAAGCCATTCCGGGGGAAATACCCGAACTTATTGCCAAGTTTGCTTATTAAGTTTTTATCGAATCAGTTAGTTTGTGTACTTATCACCACACCCCAAGTTATTTAAGTTACATACTGGTCACAAGGAAAATAAATTATTTTGAAGACGAGGAACGCCACTTTTCAAGTCCAACGCGTTACTGCAAATTTACATGGGGGAATATCTAGGAGTTAAACACATACCAAGCACGAGTTGATAAGGAACTTAGCAGTAATTAGACGGGATGACTATTGCATCAGCGAAAAGCTTCCTAAACGAATAAGTACGGGCAACAACCTCCATTGGACGCATTAGACAGAAGCCGCCACGTACTCAATAAGACAGTAATTGCATGAACTGATTTAAACGGGGAGTGATCTATACAAGTGTATCAAAAAGACGTCCTAGAAGCCAAGAATAATAAATCTAAAGAGTGGGAGCCCACGGAGGACCAAACGAAGATTTTATTTTACCAAATCACTTCTTTTTAGAGACACCAACAGTGCGACCACGGCGGCCAGTAGTTTTGGTGTGTTGACCACGAACACGAAGGCTAGGGGGGTAAGAAGAAAGGTTCGCTTAGCAAATGAAATAGTCTAGGTCATCGTTGAACAAGCAACAAGGGACTATTACTGAATAGCTACAAAAGGCGAAAATTGGTTAGACATACCCCCAGTAATGACGGAGACCACGGTGAGCACGGATTTTTTTTAGACGCTCTAAATCCTCGCGAAGCTTGCTATCAAGGGCTTGAGCTAGGAGCTGTGAGTGTTTGCCGTCCTCGATGTCTTTCTGCCTGTTAAGAAACCAGTTCGGTATTTTGTACTGTCGAGGATTAGTCATTACCGTAACTATCTTTTCTATTTCATCTTCACTAAGTTCACCTGCACGCTTGCGGATGTCGACATCGGCTTTCTTACA